CGTCCCACATACAGCAACTAGAAGGATGTGCAGCTATGACATACAACTATCTACTGGGGCTTTGGGGGAAAAAAAAAAAAAAAAAATTATATAAAAAAAAAAAAAGAATGTTCACTCAAGACATCCATGAGTTTCCCATGCAGAGGCACCAAGCAGCTGTCAGGGAAGTTGGGATCTGAGCCCCAAGGAGAGGCAAGAGCTATAGGTGAACATGGGCAGTCACTGGCCAAGTGGGTTCTCACTTGGGTGACAGAAGAGCACAGAGTCCAGGACCAGAGTCTCGAAGAGGAGAAGAGTTGGCAATGGAAACTGAAGAGGGGCTGCTGAAAATGGGGAGACAAAGAACGTAACATCTAGAAGGCCAAGAGAGAAGGTGTTTCAGGAAGGAGGGGCTGGTTAGCCACATCAGAAGCTGTTGAGAAGATAAGTGGCCACTGTATTTGCGGTCACAGAAATCACTGGTCACTTAGACAAGACAGGTTCTTGGGGATGGTTAGGATGGAAACGCAATCAGAGAGACACGGAGGTGGGGCAAGAGGAGGTAAAGAGGAGGAGAGGCAGACAAAGTAAGATAGCCTGGGATCCAGACAAGAGACGAGACTGGCTCTAGATAGGCAGGAGGAAGCAAGTGCACGGCTCATCGTTAGTCCCACCAGGTTTCATCTTGTAGAAAATGCCCCAGCATTCTAGTCAGATCCTCTCACTTTATATCCTAATCAATTCTATCATCCAAAGTGGTCCCAGGTTCATTTTACGCAAAAATTGGCTCAGTAAGCTACCACCGTACTTTTCTACAACTAAGAAAATGTTAACAGGAAGAGAGGAAGATGACATACTCAACCCCAAATCCCTCCACACTTACATAAAGTACCCCAGACGTCAGACAGGAGACAGACTAGTCAAGAAAAATAACTAGAAAGTACAAACAAACAAAAGTCCTCAGGATAGAATAATTAACATTAGATCTTACCAAAAAACACAGCAGAGAGTAGTCAGGCCCTAAGTCCACAGAATTACTAAGAGTTGACTAAAGAAAGCCCTTCTTGTGAAGAGTTAAACTTCACAGGTAGCCCCTCAACTCCCCCTGGAAAAGGAAAGAGACTGGGTTCTCCTCTCAGGCCTGGGTGTTAAGAGCTAAGGAGGCTGGGCATGGAGGTCCACAGAGCCCCAGAGGCATGTCCAGCATTCCGTTCGAGGGCTCCAAGGAGATGGACGGGGCCCATGTTACCCGAGCCTGTGCCTGGCCTCCAGAAAGTGCTGCTCCCTCTTGTGCTGAGGTGCTGGAGCTGTCCCCTGGTCAGCCGAGCCGTGAAGGAGGGCATGGAGCCAAGAGTCGATGTCAAGGCAATTTCCAAGCTTTGTGACAGCTTCTGCTCATGGGACACTGGACCTGTCGAGAGATCCACAGACCACAATATCCAGAGAGAGGTTCAGCAAAGATGATGACCAAAACCCAAAGTCCTCGAGGACTACAAAAACAGCACTTTCAACTTCAAGTAGATACAAATGTAAAGAAAGTTCTCCCTAACGTCTACTAGTGATTTGTGATGCCAGAATACAGAGAGGAAAGCCCTGATGACCCTCGCAGTTTGTACCCATCCCACACCCCTTTCAGGGTTCCTAGGCTCTGCACTAGCTTTCCTCCTCCTGGACAAATTACTGGGTGGCCATGGGCCACCTTGTGGCTCCCCTCCAGAACTGCACCCTACTTTCTGAAGGCCTCCCTGCTGGCCAAGGAAATGAGTGGGGCAAGCAAACGCCCAGCCTTGTGCCCCTGCTCCCTGCCCCCATTCCCTCCCCAGCACCCTCAGTTTGCTCTTTCCTCATCTCTTCCCTGCTGGGGCCCCACCACTCTGCAGTGCTGCTGGCCTGTCCTTTCTCTCCTGTTAAGTAAAGCAAAGCAATTATCACTAAGTGGAATAAGGAAGACCTCACTCTGCCCACTCCACAATCTAGGGGACCTTCTCTGTGGTCCGCAGGAAGCCAAGCAATGGACTGAGAGTAAAAGCAATGTGGGAAGGGGGACAGCACCCCAAGAAAGGACCCAGAGACCTGCCTGGTAGCAGGATTCACAAAACTTCCCCAAAGCAGGGAGTGGAACATTCTGTCTACAGTTCGTAGTATATAGAACATCAGCTTGGGGCCTTGGAGCACTGGTCAGTGTGGTCCTGTGTCATCAACAAATTTGTCAAGGCCAACACCACTGGAGATCTCCACAGACATAGGGTCTAAGGACCTTTCACCTCGTCTCGCCCCATGGCACCTCAGACGCTTCCAGGAGTTTCTGGGGGTCATGTTAACCAAAATTTATGCTCAAAACCAGAGAAGACACAGATGTAACTTTCAAGCACACTACTTGCATAGGCCTTTTAGAGTAAGAGAGGAAATTAAAAGAATGATAAAATCTAAACAGACTAATTTAATTAAGAAAAAAGAAAAAGTGGTCAAAGAGCTATTTCCAAAAGCACCAAACTCTGACAATCATGGGGAAATTCTGCCAAACATGTGAAGAGTGAACGATTCTAATACTGTTAAACTGTTCCAGAGTTTAGAAAAGGAAAATTTCCTAATTCTTCTTATGGAGCAAATAAATCATTGACACCAAAACCTGACCAAAGATGGCATGTGCACGCTTGCACACACACACTATAGTCCAATCGCACTCAACACCAGCAAACAGAACCACACAGCACATTAAGCAAGACCAAATGGAGTTCCTTCCAGGAGTGTAGCAATGGTTCAATATTAAGAAGGCTATTAACGTACTTTCTTACATTAAAAGATCTAGGATGAAAAAATCATAATATCGTCTCCATTGATAAAGAAAAGTCATTAGACAAAATTCAACCACCAATCTTGGAAAAAACACTGAGTAAAATAGAAATCAGTGGTGTGGGAGAGTGTCTGAAATGGCTCCCAATGAAGCCCATCTTCTGATCCTCAGGCTGCTCTTGGGAACCCCTTCCCCTTGAGCGTGGGCTGGACTTGGTGAGCTGCTTTTAAGAGAATATAGCAAAAGTAATAGGATGTCATTTCCATGACTGGGTTCTACAAGACTGTGACTTCCATCTTGTTTGCACACTCTCTCTGGTGTACACAGCTACCATGTTGTGTGCTACCCTTGAGAGGCTCAGGGAAGACTGGCCACGAGCCAACAAGTGCAGCAATTCAGTGAGGAACTGAATCCTGCAACAACCACATGACTGAGCCTGGAAGTGAAGCCTTCCCAAGTCAAGCCTTGAGTTGGTTGACTGCAGCCCAGCCAACACTTTAATAGCAGCCTTGGAAGACCCTGAAGTAGATGACCAAGCCAAGCTACACCTGGATTCCTGTCCAGGGATGCTATGAGATAATGAATGTGTGGTGCTTTAACCCAGTAAGTTTTGGGGTAACTTAAGCTGGCAAAGCATAAAGCAAAGGGCAGTGGTGCCAAGTGCCACTTGGGAGAAGTAGGGCTGACAATGGGCATGGAGATAGGATGGTGGATTACCCGTTGAGCAGTCCATGTGTGTCAGACCGAGCTCACTGGCAGCTTTCATCTTCTTAGCGGTGTGTTCTGAGGTAGTGGGTGAGACCATAAGGCTTGTGGTAGAAAAACAGGAAGCATTTATACCAAGGCTACCGTCTGGGGCATGTTCAGCCTGCTCCATCTTTCTTTTCCGAGAAGGCAGAGCAAGTGAAGAAGGGGTAACTGCCAACGCAGTCTGTGCTCTCCCAAGCAGGTGGCAGCCAGGGATGGAGTGCTGGAGCAGGAAATGGTCAATCCGGGCCTTCAGGGAGGGGTGAGGCAGGGGCTGGGAGAGTGGAGTAAAGGCTACCCCTGTGAAAGGGTCACTGGGCACTCGGCCCCATGTGGCTTCACTGCGGTTACACTTCTCCAGAGTGCTCTGGTCGATGACCTTGCCTGAGGGCAGGAGCATGGGGCAAGGCATGATTTCCAGGGTGATGGGATCCAGGAACTCCTCAGGCACATCCTGAATTACCTCGGCCAGCTCCTGCAAGCTGGAAGGGGCCTGTGGGCCCTCAGACTGGCCTCCGGGGTCACAGTCACTTTCCATGGGCATGGCCGGGGCCTGCAGAGCCAAGTCTTGAGGGTGTCTCTCTGAGGCAACCAGCAGGACGCTGTCTATCACCTCCTGAGAGCAGGTTTTAGCCGGCTGACCCCACACTTCCAACCGCTTGATGCAAGGGATACCGCTGCCTGTCACGTGGGTGATACAGATCTTGAGATGGGCCACGTGGCTAAGGGAAAGAGCCCCTTTATTCCAAAGCTCCTGGGCCACAACAGCAGGGGAGGGGAGTGTGGCTTCCATTGGGCCAAAAGGCGGCCTAGCCTTGAAGCCCTTGTGGCTAAACACTACTTGGCTCTGGTTTTTCAACAAGACTTTGCCTACCAAGGTGAATGCCTCCTTGTCTGGGATGGATGGCTCAGCTGGGCCCGGGACCCGGCACTCGAGGGTATTCCAAGATGCTCTGCTGGATAAGGCAGACGTGTACATTTCCAGGCCAGTGACATTCTGGCCTCCCCCAGCTGTGAGGTCTATGTTAATCCTACAGATTTCCACATTGAAGGGAAAGGAAATTGTTACATAGACTGGTGGCTTAATGAAATACTCCGTCCTAAAACCATGACTTCTCTTTGTGAGGTCTTCAGAGATGAGATTTTCTACTTCATAACCATCAGCTGATATCTAGATTTAATGACAAATATAAGACACATTGATTTGATGAGACTCAAATGAAGACAACTAGTTTTCAAGAACTTGCCACTTCTAAGAAAACTCTAAAGAAAGTTTGAAGTTTCTCATTTAAAATTTCCTCTAATACATCGAGTTTTCCTGATTTTTTTTGCAGGCATCTAAGATCAGGTCAAAGGCTGGGGGCAACTGTATCCTCAAGTACTGCCTATCCTTAAAAAATATAAGCAACAAAACACTGCCCAACCCACCAAAAATCCCTTCAAAATAACATCTCTCTAAAAGGGGGTAGATATACTATTGTTTTTTTTTTCATTATTTCAGAGGATGAAAACATGCCAATTTAGGGAAAAACAAAGATGTTCATTAAAGTTCTCAATTTTGTATTTGGACTCTACCAATTATAACAGTTTCCTTAGGAAGGCACAACAAATAAGCTTCTTGTAAATCTATCACTGATGAAACTAGGTAAAAAAAAAAACGTGTGCACAAGGACAAGAACCACAAAAAACTATGGGACATTTAACACAATGAATGTGCTAGGACAGGTGGGATTGTGAGTAACTTTTTCTTCTTTTAATATTTCTAATATTTGTTATAACCCAATGGAGATTTTAAGATTATCTTTGTCCGAAAGAGTCAGCTTAACAACATGGGAACCTGAAATAGAACACTGTGGGCAGAAACTCCAAATCAGGGGAGGGGTTCAATTTTCCCCTTGGAGTTTCCTTATTCCCTGCTCTGACCTGTGGAAAGATACCCCCCTTGGCACAAAAGGGAAAGCAGCTTAATTCAAACAATAAAGAACAAGAAATCCAAATAACAAATATAAGCCATTATTCCTAGCATGAGAAGTTAGCAAGAAGATCAGTGGGGGAGAGAATTTCTACCTTCACTATGACTTTGAGTGGAATCAGAATTTATCATCAGAGGGAAGAGTCAGACCCTTCACAAAAAGAGTCACAGCTCACCCTGTAACGGTGCTGTCTGACTCAAGAGGGGCAACCTGACCCATGCTTACCTAAATATCATCTGGTGGCATCTAAAACAATGAGGATGAAAGCACATTAAGCCTGAATTAAGCCCACATATACAAGGCAGGAAATGGGGAAAACATGAAAAATAGATACCTTATACTTATTTATGTGCATATACTTGTTTTATTTACCTTGTTGCAGTAAATTCTTGGTCTGAACTGTGGAAGGCAAAGATTTATTACCATCTTTGTGGCTGAAAGGATAGCTTCCAAGCATCAGAAATAGCCTTAAATAAAAAATAAAACTTGGTATTAGACAAGTTAAAACTTAATTCTAAACTTTGAGGAGTTGATTCCTAAGAGAAGAGAATCAAACAAGATAACAACAAAAACTTTTAACACACACACTCTCGCGGTCTATACTCACTCTCTTTGTATCCTGTGATGCTGGGAAAAAAATTAGTCACTTAAAAATTGCCGAGGCCGGCCCAGCGGTGCAGTGATTGGGTTCGCATGTTCTGCTTTGGCGGCCTGGGGTTTGCTCACCGCTTGTCAGGCCATGCTGGGGTGGCGTCTCACATAGAAGAACTAGAAGGACCTACAACTAGGATATACAACTGTATACTGGGGGCTTTGGGGAGAAAAAAAGAAAAAAGAAAAAGAAATGAGGTTTCTGTTTAAAAAAAAAAAAAAAAAAAACCGCAGAAGAGATTTCTATTGCAGACTGACCAGGTAGGCAAAGGCTGCTGGTTCTCTGGCTGACAGCTGGAGGCAGGGGCCTGTCAGCTCTGCAGGGGGCTATCCACAAGAAAAGGAGGGTCAAAAGTGGCTGAGCTCAGAGAAAAAAACAGGACTACTTAACCAGAGGGCTTAGAACAGAAAGGGTCACAGAAAATAATCATAGTGGTGCTGGGCATCTTTGTCACTTAACACTTGTCAATGCAATTACATTTTCTTATTATAATGAAAACAATTAGAAGAGTCAAAAACATCATTTTTGAGAAATTGAAAATCTTAGGGTTAGAAGTACCTTAAAAGGACATCAAATCCAAACAGTCATTTTATAATTTTATTTATTTTTCCCCCAAAGCCCCAGTAGATAGTTGTATGTCATAGTTGCACATCCTTCTAGTTGCTGTATGTGGGACGCGACCTCAGCATGGCCGGAGAAGCGGTGCGTCGGTGCGCGCCCGGGATCCGAACCCGGGCCACCAGCAGCGGAGCACACGCACTTAACCACTAAGCCACGGAGCCGGCCCTCAAACAGTCATTTTAATGACCAAGATCCAGGGTGGGCAAAATGGGTGAAGGTGGTCAAAAGGTATAAACTTCTAGTTGTAAGATAAATAAGTTCTGGGAATGTACTGTACAGCATGTTGACTACAGTTAAAATTATATATTGTATATTTGAAAGTTGCTAAGAGAGTAGATCTTAAAAGTTATCACAAGAAAAAAAATTTGTAACTGTGAGGTGATGGATGTTAACTAAACTTATTACGTTAATCATTTTGCAATACGTACATACATCAAATCACTATGCTGTGCATCTGAAACTTATACAATGTTATATGTCAATTATATCTCAATAAAAGTGGAAGAAAAAATGACCAATGTCCAAGAGCCTTTGGTACTCCCTGGAGAAAAGCAGGGAAGCCACTAGAAACATCCCTCCCAGTGACAAGCCTCTCCAATGGATCTGAACTCCTTAGGTGAGGCCAGGCCACCTGTTCTGTATTTCCACTTGTCAGACAAGGCCATGAAGAACTCTTGTAGCCTAACAGGGACAGGGCCACCCTCTGGGGTCTTTTGGTTGTCATGATCAGTAGTTGATACTTGCAGAAGCCAGGCATGTTGGGCATCCTGCAACATTTTAGTGGGCAGTTTCTGCACAGTGAGGATCTGCCATGGGATCTTTTTTTTTTTTTTGGTAATTTTATTTATTTATTTTTCCCCCCAAAGCCCCAGTAGATAGTTGTATGTTATAGCTGCACATCCTTCTAGTTGCTGTATGTGGGACGTGGCCTCAGCATGGCCGGAGAAGCGTTGCGTCGGTGCGCGCCCGGGATCCGAACCCAGGCTGCCAGCGGTGGAGCACGCGCACTTAACCGCTAAGCCACGGGGCTGGCCCTGCCATGGGATCTTTAAATGTTTATTATCTCAGCCTAGGCCCCTAAATCAGTTTTACATATAAATACAAAGTATTTTTTAAATGGTTTTAATATATACTCAATTTTTTAGGAAGGGAATTTCCATGTAAATCATAGGAAGATCATACTCTGTTTTGTTCAGATCTTTACTAAGAGGTGTTATCCATTTCTGAAAACTACATCACCTAGAGCAATACTAATAGACTTGATAGTCTGCATTTGCAGCAGTCTATAGTCAAGATTATTCTACATGTTGGTAAAAGCTTCTGACTTCTTTATGCCTTCCAGTATGGTCATACCCACACATTTAAACATGAGAATAAATTTTATTATCACACTTTAAAATTTCCCTTTTATATTACTGTTAGGGCATCTGTGTCTATGTATGTATGCATGTGTGTGTGTCTATGTATGAATGTGTGTGTGCATACCTAAACACACATATACATGCACATACATATTTTTTTAAAAAAAAATAATGTACATAGGTAGGTTATATTATCTTTGACTTTAAATTCAGGAGAGCAGAAGGAACATTACAAAATATTTATTATTAAAAGAAGGAGATGAATCCGATGGGGCAGAGAACCCCTGGCTTAAAGTCTCCTATTCTTTGTGAACTTGTACTGAAACTCCTAGTGCTTCTCACTTTTTGAGGCATACATGCTATCTCTTTGCCAGAGCATTCTACAATCTGGCCTGGAATCAACATGGACTAGTTTACAGAATTCCTTTTTTGGAAGATTGCTTTAACAGTGTCTCCAGGCTTCTGACACCTTTCCTGTTCTCCACAATAACTCAAAAACGAGTATCTCAGGAGTTACATCTGCAAATATTCTCAGGGCCCTTGTATGTACCTCCTCTTGGCGAGGAAACCAGAACACATTTAGAGCAGTATTTCCCTCAATTCTCCTGCCAAACTAGGGCAATGGCTTCTTGCTAAGTTTTGGTTTTGTTTTAAATGTAAAAATAAGCTGTTGACTTTAATTGAATATGTAAGAATTAAAATGAATATATAGCCCAGACCAAAAAATCCAAAACATTTCTCCTTGAAAAGCAAGCCTAAGATGCCAAAGGAAAACAGACAATATATTGACACAGATGGTGACATAATAGATATGTAAGTGCAAAACTGGGCTGGCGCTAGGCAAAACGATGAAGTTAGCCAACTCCAGGGTTCGGGAGGTTTTCTTTTCACTGCCGCAGGCAGTTCTCTCCTCCCCTCTTTGCCTGATGAGAGGGAGCTTTGGCAAGAAAAAACAAAGAGATAGAAACTTTGTTATAATATCAAATTACTGAGAGGTGGTTAATATTAGTAGGATAAAGGTACCACTAGTCTGCGATCATCTCTATCCACATCCTAGGCCTTTCTCTCCGACTTTCAGGGAAACAAAGAAACTCTGGCAGAGGTAACAATGCCAACTCCCTGAAGTAGTGATTTGATTTCCTACTGGGAGACACTGATTTCACTAACATCTACATTCTTCCTGTCTCCTTATTATCTTCTTAGACACTTCATACTGTGGTCTTTTAACTTTGATTTATTCTACATATCATGAAATTAACTTCTCTGAGAACCTAAATGCCAGGACCAGAGCAAGTTGGGCAGGGGTCTTCTTGGAGCCATGACGAAGAGCCTTCCTGTGAGAATCAAGCCAAATGGAAAAGTCTTCAAAATTTATCTGAGTACCCAACTCAACAGTAAATGATAGCATGAGACGGAGTTGCCCAGATGTGACCACCCTCAGGACAACTGCCCTTTGCCTTTAACCCGACTCAGCGATCACCAGACACCAGCTCCTGTGGTTAGACTTGAGAGATAACAGGGTGAGAAGGGCAAGGCTGACCAAAGAGCTGTCAAACTTTTGCTATCTCTTAACTTTAAAAAATGCCACCTCAGATACCTGAAAGAAGAGCATCTGACTGCCCTTTCAATCACTGCAGTAATTTAAAAGGTTTTATCTGCACTGAGTCTCAGGAAACACAGGGCTCACTCTCGCAGTAAGTCATTAGACAAAGAACCTCAAGCAGCAAAAACACAACTCTGGCCATGAAGGCACTTACACAAGATGGCTTAGAGGAGGCCACCAAGGATTTTATTCAATTTAAATCTTACCAACTGGTTAGCCCTAAAGTGGGTACTAATATCCTTATTTTGCAGATGAAGAAACTGAGGCTTAAAGAGAGGTTAAGCTGCGACTCAGATTCCAATCATTCCTAAAACACTCTGGTTACTATCTACTTGGACACCATTTACCTCGAAGGATTTACCAGGAAGTTATACAGATCCTTATAATTTTTTTCTTTTCTCTTACTTACGTGAAGGTTTGACATCACTCATTTTTAAAAAATAAGTTTTTCCAAACTTAAAATTAATGGGGTTGGGGCTGGCCCCGTGGCTTAGTGGTTAAGTGTGCGCGCTCTGCTACTGGCGGCCCAGGTTCGGATCCCAGACGCGCACCAACGCACCGCTTCTCTGGCCATGCTGAGGCCGCATCCCACATGCAGCAACTAGAAGATCTGCAACTATGACATACAACTATCTACTGGGGCTTTGGGGAAAAAAAGGAGGAGGATTGGCAATAGATGTTAGCTCAGAGCCGGTCCTCCTCAGCAAAAAGTGGAGGATTAGCATGGATGTTAGCTCAGGGCTGATCTTCCTCACACACACAAAAAAATAAAATTAATGAGGCTATGCTCTATGATGTAGAAATTTGGAAACTTTGCCTGCCCTTTCCAACACATTGGATCAAGCCTCAAATTGTTTTTTGAGGAAAATCCTTAGGTAACCTAGCCTTCTATTCAAGCATCTCACCTCATGAGGCTCAACTTTCATCAGAGGTTGTTAACTCTATTAGTCAACCATTAAAGCATATGGACCCATATCTGACCAGACAGCCGACTTGCTCTCCACAGCACTTACCAAAATCTAATTTGAGAGAATATTTACGGAGACTGTTCAGTCCATCCACGTTAAATTCTTTTTAGTCCCAGCCTAAGTGGTACCTCTTGCCTGCTGCCTGGCATCCCTGGTGGCTGCTGCATTCATATCACATACCACCATCTGACAGACTTCTTAGTATTGCAGATCCCGAGCTGTAGCAAAAATAAATGTAACACATTGATAAAAATTCAGTGGC